GATATTAATTCTTTATAAGATACATGATTTGAAAGTATTTTCTCCCATTCTGTGGGTTTTTGCTTTGTTGATAGTGTCTTTAGGTGCACAACATTTTTAAATTTTCATAAAGCACAATTTGTTAATTTTTTTCTTTTGCTGCCTATGCTTTGTTGTCATAGTCGAGAAATTATTGCCAAATGCGATGCTGTGATGCTTCTGTCCCATTTTTATCTGAGAGTTTCATAGTTTAGGTCTTACATTTAAGTCATGGGTCTGTTTGGAGTTAATTTTCTTTTTTTTTTTTATACAGAGTCTCGCTCTGTCGCCCAGTCTAGAGTACAGTGGCACAATCTCAGGTCATTGCAAGCTCTGCCTCCTGGGTTCAGGTGATTTTCCTGCCTCAGCCTCCCGAGTAGCTGGGATTATAGGCATGCACGACCACGCCCGGCTAATTTTTGTATTTTTAGTAGAGACAGGGTTTCACCATGTTGGTCAGACTGGTCTCGAACTCCTGATCTCATAATCTACCTACCTCAGCCTCCCAAACTGCTGGGATTACGGGCATGAGCCACCACAGTCAGCCCAAATTTTATTCTTTTTACAAGTGGATATTCAGGCTTCTGAGTATCATTTCTTGAAAACACTGCCCTTTCCCCATTGAATGGTCTTGGCAACCGTGTCAAAAATCATTTGGCCATATATGCTAGGGTTTCTTTCTGGGCTCTCTATTCTATTGTATTAGTTTGTATGTCCGATATTATGCCAGTAGCACACTACTTTGAATACTGTAACTTTGTAGCAAGTCTTGAAATCCGGATATGTGAGTCTTCAAGCTTAGTTATTTTTCATGGTGGTTTTGGCTATTTGGAGTCTCTTGAGATTCCATATGAATTTTAAGATGGATTTTTCTATTTCTGCAAATAAATATCATTGAGATTTTCATAGATATTGCATTGAATCTATAAATCACTTTGGGTGGTATTGACATCTTAACAATATTAAGTCTTTCAATCCATAAACATGAGATGTCTTTCCATTTATTTAAGTCTTGTTTAATGTCTTTCAGAAATGTTTTGCAAGGAGTCTTTCATCTCCTTGACTAAGTTAATTCCCTAGTGTGTTATTCTTTTTGGTGCTATTGCAACTGGAATTATTAATTTTACTTTTCATATTGTTCATTGTTGCTGTATAGAAATGCAAATGATTTTGTTTGTAGACTCTGTATTTTGCTACATTAGTGAATTTATTTATTAGTTCTAACAATATTTTGTGGAATCTTTAGGGTTTTTTTACATATAAAATCATGTCCTCCGTTAACAGAGATAATTTTACTTATTCTTTTCAATTCAGATGCCTTTTATTTGTTTTTCTTGACTTATTCCTCTGGCTAGAACTTCCAGTACTATGTTGAATAGAAGTAGCCAAAGTGGGTATTCTTGCCTTGTTCCTGACATAAAAGAAAAGCTTTCACCATTAAGTATGATGTTTGCTGTGGGTTTTTTGTATATGTCTTTTATTTCATTGCATTGCGGTTATTTTCTTCTCTTCCTAGTTTGTTGAGTGTTTTACATGAAAGAGTGCTGAGTTTTGTCAAATACTTTTTCTGCATCCATTGAGATGATCGTACAGCTATTTTCCTTTATTCTGTTAATGTGATGTGTTACGTTGATCAAGTCTCATTTATTGAAACATCCTTGCTTTTCAGAAATAAATCCCACTTGGTCATGGTGTAAAATCATTTTAATATGTGACAAGGTGCAGAGCGTGATGGCTCATGCCTTTAATCCCACCACTTTGGGAGGCCAAGGTAGGCAGATTGCTTGAGGTCAGGAGTTCAAGACCAGCCTGGCCAACATGGTGAAACCCTGTCTCTATTAAAAAAATTTTTTAAAAAGTGATATGTGTGTATATATATATATATACACACATATATATGTATGTATATATGGATATATACATATCACTATTTATATATATTTATCTATTTTATATATACTTCCTTATATATGTATATATACGTACGTATGTATGTATATATGTATACATATGTACGTATATATACGTGTGTGTATACATTCGTGTATATATGTATGTATACACACACATATATGTATGTACATATACGTATATACACACACACACATATATATATGTTGCTGAATTTGATTTGCTAGTATTTTGTCAAAGGTTTTTGCATCAGTGTTCACAATGGATACTGATCTGTATTTTTCTTTTCTTGTAGTGCCTTCACCTGGCTGTTATCAGGGTAAAGCTGGACTCACAGAATTGGGGAGTTTAGCCTTCTCCTCAGTTTTTTGGAAACGTTTGAGAAGAATTGATGTTAGTTCTTCTTTAAATGTTTCTTCACTGATAGAATTCACCAGTGAACCATCAGGTCCAGAGCTTTTCTTTATCAAGAGATTTTTGATTACTGATTCAATCACCTTACTAGGTATACGTTTATTCAGATTTTCTCTTTCTTCATGATTTAGTCTTGATAGGTTTTATGTTCCTAGGAATTTGTCCATTTCATCCAGGTTATATAATTTGTTGGTGTAAAATTGTTCATAGGCCGGGCATGGTAGTTCACGCCTGTAATCCCACCACTTTGGGAGGCCGACGTGGGTGGATCACCTGAGGCCAGGAGTTCAAGAACAGCCTGGCCAACATGGCAAAACCCAGTCTCTACTAAAAATACAAAAATGAGCCAGATATGGTGGCATATGCCTGTAATCCCAGCTATTCATAAGGCTGAGGCACAAGGATCGCGTGAACCTGGGAGGCGGAGGTTGCAGTGAGCTGAGATCGCACTACTGCACTCCAGCCTGGGCCAAAGAACAAGACTCTGACTCAAAAAATAATAACAATAACTAATATATATCAAGCAATTACTATAGGCCAGGCACTCCTTTAAAGGCTGTACATAATTATTTCATCTAATTTTTATGAAAACCACATGTGAGGACTTTACTACTCTTATCTGTAGTTTACAGATAAGGAAACTGAAACTCTGCTACACGAAAAATTTTTCAAGGGTCAGATTCATTTAGAAAGCTAGGATTTGGACTAATTCCATCTATTTCCAGAGCATAGACCTTTAACAACTTCACCCTCTGGATGTGGGGCACAGTGAAAACAATGACAGGTGAAAACTTTCCCAGCTCAGAGATCTCTGTGGTCACGCCAAGGTGGCAGGGAGAATTAAGGTAAAGCCACCTTCTCTGAGAGGTCCTCCCTAACATTTCTTTCTGGATTGGGGATCGCTCTCCTGTGTTTCCACAGTTACCCGGGAAGCTCTCATGGGAGACTTTTATCACCTTGCACCTAAAGAGCTCCTGGGCTCCACCACCTGCAGCTTTAGAATTGGATTCATCTGTCTTCTCTATCAATTCTCTATTACCGTATCCCCAGCACTTAGCCCAGGAACAAGTACACACTCAATGAATATTGTTGGAATTAATTCATAAAGGAATATATCAAAGAGAAAAAAATGTTCACCTCTCTCTCCCACCACTGGTCTGTACACTCCCAGCCAACAGTGTCTGGCACACAAAAGGTGAGTCACATACAGGGGAACTCCAACCAGAGGTAAAAACATACTCTGGTTTGCCTCCTGTAGTTGGAAGAAGGGCATCTGAGAGTGAAGAGGGACAGAGATATCTGTGTTTCAGGATAGAGAATGGGGAAAAGAGGTAAGAGAGAAGGCAGGAAGAACAGATGACAGAAAATGAGTTATTAAAAAGGTAGAAAGAACTAAAGAAAAAAAAGCTCTAGAGAGCATACTAACAATTTCTAACCCAGGTCTAAATAGACCTAGTTTAAACAACAAAGAAAATCCTTCCAGAATTTTTTTTTTTTTTTTTTTTTTTTGAGATGGAGTCTCACTGTCACCCAGGTGGGAGTGCAGTGGTGCGATCTCTGCTCACTGCAACTTTCACCTCCTGGATTCAAGCAATTCTCCTGCCTCAGTCTCCTGGGTGGCTGGGATTACAGGCACGTGCCCCCGTGCCCAGCTAATTTTTGTATTTTTAGTAGAGACGGGGTTTCACTATGTTGGCCATGATGGTCTTGATCTCCTGACCTCGTGATCCGCCCACCTTGGCCTCCTAAAGTGCTGGGATTATAGGCGTGAGTCACCACACCCTAACCCTCCTAAACCTTTTCTAAGCAAAATTCTTCCCCTTCCTCTTTCCCTTCTTCTTCCCCTTCCTCTTTCCCTTCTTCCCCTTCCTCTTTCCCTTCTTCCCCTTCCTCTT